ACCACCTAGCTGCCTGCCACGTAGGTGACCCAAAGCTTATCCTCTCTTTATATCTCATACTCCTGTGAGAAGCCACTGTGTCAGCTATCTTTATATCCATGCTCCTTCCTGCTTTTATCCCTTGCACAAATCCCAGATCTGTGTGAGGTTTAGCCATCATACTCCAGTCTGTGCCATTTTGTATGTATAATCCCCTGTTGGAGCAGAGACCGGGGGGTGGAGGGTGCTGGTATGCAGCTTTCTTTGTGCAACAATGCATATACAAAGAATTGTGGGCTACAATGATGATGGTGATGTGACAGTGATGCTAGTGGTGATGAAAGTAATGATGGTCATTGGAGCAGTGAAGATAGTGATTATGGTGCCATTGGAAGTGATACTAGAAACGGCTTTGATAGTGGTGAGAAGGAGGCTATGATGGTGGTGATTACAAGGGTGAGGATGTTGATATTAGCTTTTGTGGTGAAGGAGTGAGGAAGATGGCTTTAGTGGTGCTAATAGCTATGGTGACTGTAATGATGGCTGTGATGAAGATGAGATGGGTGATGATGGGGAAAGGGTCAGTGTTATGGTGGTGATGATGGCAGCAGTGATCATGGTGATAGTGGTACAGGCACCGATGGTGGTCATGAAGATGGAGACAATGGCCATGCTGGGGGTGGCAAGAGTGATAGCAGAGATGACAGTCTCAGGCTTAGTGTCAATGATGGCGATGAATATGATGACAGCGGTGACAAGAGTGACAGTGAGGGGATGATCATTCATGATGATGATAATGGTGATGTGAGAGGAGCATTGGTGGCGGTGATGACACAGGGTTCAGGATGCTGATGGTAACGTGACAGTGCTAGTGGGAACACTTGTGTCAGTGGTGATTGGATGATGGTGGCCATGGTGGGTGTGATGATGGTGACAGATGGTAATCATAGCGACGAAGAGAATTATGTTGGTGACGATGGCACTAAGGAAGATGGTGGTGATGGTAATGATGAAAATCAGTGGCCCAGTATCAGGACAGCTACAACTCATAATAATAATGGTAACTAGCATTTATGTAGTGCTTAAACAAAGCACTTCACAAATATTATCTCATTTTATCCTCACAACAGCTCTGGGAGGCAGGCGCTATTATTATCCTCATTTTACAGAGGGGGAAACAGAGGCACACAACTGTGTGACCTGTCCAGGGTCACACAGCTAGGTAGGATTCTCATTCAGGTCTTCTTGATTCTAAGTCTTGTACTCTATGCACTCACTGCCTGGGGCAGATAGAAAGCTTCTTGCTTTCCTCCCTAGGGGAGAGAATACACCAACATGCTTCCGGACCATGTGGTGTCCTCATTATCCCCTATCTCCACTTTCCCCCCAAGTCCTGAGATATTCAAACACTGAAAAAAGACCAGTTTCTCTCATGCCCTTGGGACCTAGGCAGAAGCCGGATGGAACCTGTAAAAGGAAGACCTCTGGCTCTGAACTTGGGGGAATCCCTGGGCAAAATGATCCCCTGCCTAAGTGTCATTTCCTCATCTGTGAAATGGGGTTAATCACACTTGTTCAGGCTCCTGCAAAGGGCTCTTTGGTATCTGATGAGACTTTGTATGGGAAAACATCTGGCAACAACAGAATTCCGTCCAGATGTGTGGGGCGTGTGGAACTCTGCAAGCAGGTATTATTCCTTAATGATTCATTGGTCATGGGGACGAGGAGACTGCGAACCCGAAGCCGGATGTCAGAGCTAAGCAGCTGCTCCACCTCTCTGTGCTCCTGCACTCCTTCCTTCCCTGCCTTTCCTCACCAGAAGTCCCTTGGGCAGTTCTGGGCAGAGGGGGAAGGGAACAGAGAGAATGCAACAGACAGCACCTCAGTCAGTTCTCAGCCCATTCCCAGCCTAGAAGCCCTGACTGATGGTAGCAGGGTTCTTGAGTCTCCAGAGACCTTCTGCTCTCGCCCCTTTGTTCTCTCCTATTCTAATCTGACCCTCTGATACTGGTGGCCAGCTTCCCCCCACCTTTCCAGCCATGGGCCACAGTTCCCCAATGTGTGCCCCCATTTCAGCAAAGGATCATTTTCGTGGTCCTCCCACCCCCAATGGCTCATACGGGTCTCACTTCCTGAAAAACCCTCCCCCTCTGCAGTCTTCCCCTTCCCCTGACAGCTCCTTCCCTTGCTTATGCCAGCCCATGATGACCTCCTCCACTGACCAACTTCCTGCAGCACTTACAGTCTGTACTGACCCTCTTACGCTCAGTAGCCTCCGAAGGCCTTGGCTTTATTCTCTGACTGTTCTGTACCTGTACGGCTTGTCTCTGAAAGCACTAGACTGGGAGTGCTCTCCTGAAGGCAGCAGCTGTGGTTTTTCCTTTTCCTTTCTCTCTTTAAGTGCATGCTCGTGTCTGGGTACAGGAGATACAAGGCAATGCTGCTTCATCTATTGATCCCCTCTGCCCACAATGTCCAACAACGTCTCTCATCTCCCTGGCCCTCCATCCCCTCCCCTCCCTTCCATCCCCTCCTCTCCCCTCCCCTCCTGTCCCCTCCCTTCCATCCCCTCCCATCACCTTCTCTCCTCTCCAATCCCCAAAACAACAGGTGGTCTTCCAGGGAGAAAGTAATTTCTGGCTTAAGTTGGGAGATGAACAGAGTAGGGTCACAGATCTCAGAGGCCACCTAGTCCAGATGAGAAAACTGAGGCATAGGGATGTTAAGGGACTTTCTGAGTTAGGATTTGAACTCAGGTCCTCTGAGGCCAAAGTCAGGGCCCCGTATGGGTATCACAGATCAGTACACCAGAGACAGAGAACACCACCTTAGAGATATTGGGGATACAGCGGCAGGTGTACATTTGGGGCACGAATTGGACCAGCTGGGCTCTGGATTCTCTCCCGACTCTGTGATTCTGAGATCATGCCACACTACTTTGCTTCAGCGGGACCAGACGTAGCCCACATTTCTAGTCTGGGGTCCCCTATCTCAGGAGGGACATCGATAAGCTGGAGCTTATCTACAGGAAGACACCCAGGAGTCATGAGGGACTGGACACCTTCCGCTTGGGGCAGGAGGATCATTACTGTCATCACATCATTATCCTCATCCTAGCTAATGATTATAAAGCACCTACTATGTGTCATGCACTGTGCTAAGTGCTTTACAATTACTATCTTATTTGATCCTCATAACAACCCCGGGAGGTAGGTGCTGTAGTTGTCCCCATTTTACAGACGAGGAAAGCGAGGCAAATGGAGGTGAAGTGACTTGCCTGCATCCTACGGCTAACAAGTGCTTGAGACTGAATTTGAACCTGGGTCTTCCTGACTCCAGGCTCGGCACTGTCTGCTCTGTGCCTCCTAGCTGCCTCGTATTGGGGGGATATGATAGGAAGGCCATCACCAGAAAGCAGAATCAGACTTGTTCCACCTGGTTCTAGGGGGAAGAACCCAGAGGAAGGCCTGGAAGTTCTAAGGGGGGCAGATTTAGGCTCCATATAAGTACAAAGTTTCTCAACCCTGAGAGCCGTCCCGACGTACAATGGGCTCCCTGGGGAGGTTCCCTGAAAGACTCCCAACCATGGGGGCCCGTAAGAGGAGGCCGGATGGTCCCTCGATTCAGGTTCTGGGCTAGGGCTTGGATGACCTCCCTTCCAGGTCTCACGCTCTCTATTTTGATCAATTTGTGTCCAAGGAGTGTGTAGATGGCTCTGCCTGGTATCTGCAGGTCTACAGATGTCTCTGCCATCTCTGCTGAAGGCTTCCAAAGCCTTCCCCTCTCTTCCTGCTTTCCACAGGCCTCTCTGGGGACCACTTACCTTTTCATTCTTGTGCTGATGATGGACAATCTCCCTTCCCTTTCCCCTGCCCTCTTCCCAGGGCCAGGCCCGCACTCACATCCACAATGAGGAAGTCCAGCCAGCACCAAGCGTTGGTGAAATACTTCTTAAAGCCATAGGCCACCCACTTAAGCAACATCTCAAGGACAAAGATGTAGGTGAACATCTTGTCAGCGTACTCCAGGAGAACCTTGATGGTCTTGCGCTCCTCCAGATAGATGTCTTCAAAGGCCTGCAACCGGAACGTAACAGAAGATGAGGTGACCTGCTGAGGAGGTGGCTTTGACTGGCCTTTCTGACTGTGAGATGGAATGGGCTGCCTTGTGAGGTAGTGAGCTCCCTGTCAATGGTTCATGATCAAGCAGAGAGTCAGGATGGCCAGCTCTCAGGGATACTATGGAAGGGATTTGATCCTTCCCTTGGTAGGGGGCTGAGTTAGATGACTTCCAATGACCCTTCTGACTCACTTCTAAGATTTAGGGTTGATTTCACTTCTGCGTCTTTACGTAGGCTCTCCCCCAATCCTAGAACACGCCTCCCCCTCGGTCTGCCAAGAACCAATCCTTGGCTTTCTTCAAGACTCAGCCCAGGTTCCCTTTCCTAAAGGATGAAGCCTCCAATGGCTAGGGGCTGGCTTCATCCTGAAGTCGTTTTTTAGTTCTTCATCTGTCCACATATTATAGCAATAGAATGGAAGCTCCTGGCGGGCAGGCACTACTTGATCTCTGCTGTTGTATCCCCAGGCACCTGGCACAGAGTAGGGGCTGGATTCTAGGATTTCACCACTCCACTGTGTCGTGGAATTGCTCCAGGTGTCCCATCTCCTGCTAATCAGAGTCCCAGACCCAATATGGAAACTTGGAATGAGGGCAGTATATGTTCACTGTGGTTGTTTGGGTCTCCTTTTAGAACTACTGGGTTAAAGCTGCTCATTCCTGCCCACAGTGTAGAGAGAGGCATAAGGCTCTCTTGGAGCAGCCTGGAAGCAACAAGTGTGCCCATGGGACACGTGTGTGGTCGGGGACCCTGCCCACCAAAGCTGAGTGTAGGCCCCCAGCGTGGGGCTGAGCCTCCCGTCTCCCCCTATCACGCAAGGTTCCATGACTACCACAAGGGATCAAGGTTGTAAGGGACCTCAGAGGCCTTACAGGCTGATTTTCTTTTTACAGATGAGGAAACTGAGGCCCAGGCAGATTAAAGTAAGGCTATAGATTTGGACCTGGAAGGCACTGCAGAAGCCCGGAGTTTGCCCCAGTTGACATCAGCGTCTCCCTCTCTGCCTACCGCCCATCCATGCAGAGGCATCTGCTGCCCCCCCTCGGCGGCACATGGTGCTCACTTCTTTGGGTGCCTGGCTCTTGGTATGTGACTGACTTTGTATCTGCTGTCTGCCTCCTGTTTCCAGCCAAAACACGTTCCCTGCTCTGATGGAGTAGGCTGAATCGGCAATATGTTAAGTAGTTTTGTTTTTTTTAAACAGCGATAAACAAAAGTGCTTTAAGCCAAGTGCGGGCTACATGGGGACGATGGCTGAAGGAAGGGGCTGCAGGGCAATCAGCCACTTGGTGCCCTCAGCACAGGCAGGAGACTCATCACTGCCTTGCCCCGAGGCAGGTGGCCCCCCAGCCTTTGGATTTTCCAGCATGCCTGTCTACACAAGTCAAACAGAAACACTCCCAGTCTACACATAGAGTAGAACCAGCTCTGATACGGGGGCTGTTTGATCGGTCTAGTTCCCTCCATCCCCTCCAGGGCCCTGGCAGGCAGGGCTGTGGAAAGCCAGATCTTTCTGCTGAGCCTCTAGTCAACTATGATCCAAACCTTACTTGTCCTTTGAGACTCAGTTCAAGCCTCACCTCCTACATGAAGCCCTCCCAGACTGTTCCAGCCCACACTGGCCTCCAAACCTTTCGGCACTTGAGAACGCACACTCTAGTGCTAGAGAGTCATAGGGTCAGAGATTTGGAATAGGAAGGGGCCTGGCAAGGCGGCTACTCCCACTGCCCTCATTGTACAGATGAGGAGGGAAAGTGAGGCCCAGAGCTGGGATTGGAACTTAAATGCAGTGTTCTTTCCATTAGGTTTCACTGCTTCTGGCTGTTTCACCCACAGTGAATGCCATCTCCCCAATCAGAGTGAAAACTCCCTGAGGTCCGGCCGCCCCAGCACCTGGCATGGGGGAGTCCGGGCACCTACAGAGCCTTGTAGAAGAAGGGAAGGTCAGGATTATTCTTGCTCAAGGTGGGTGTGACTTGAATGAGGTACTGGCCCTGGACAGACGACCCTAGCTGAGGCCCTGAACTGGGCCTGGGTTCAAATCCCAGCACCCCCCCCCCACCTAGGTTGCCTTGGATAAATTGCTTCCCCTAACTGGGCCTTGGTCTGTTCATCTGTCACGTGAGGGGGTTGGACTCTTTGGCTCTGAGGTCCCCTCCAGGCTGGAATCTGACTCCTGGGAACACTCGAGGAGCTCCTACTGTACAGCTTCCGGGGCAAGGAAGCTTTGGTTACCAAGGCCTCTCCCTATAGGGGGTGGGCATCACCCCCAAACCCAACCCCCTACTGAAGGACAAAATGGGGTCTCAGTGCCAAGGATCGGGCAGGGCCCTCGGGAGTCCAGAGGAGGAGGACTTGGGCTCTACTCTTCCCCTGAGTTAACAACAGTTTTCATAAACAGTCTTGGGTCCTAAATGTTCCTGGGGAGCTGGCTGGTGAAAGGAGGCCCTGTTCTGGGCTGCCTGGGAGGCTCGCTGGAAAATGAGCCCCCTGAGCCCCCCTGCTGTCATGTGCCTTCCCCCCCAGGCTCCCTGCACCCTGGCCCAAGGTTACCAGGGCACCGCTGCTCAGCAGAATCATGAAGATGATGAAGGTCTCGAACCAGCTGTGCTCCACGATGCGGTAGCAGGTTTTCCGGAGCCTCCACCAGACATTGCCAGGAAACTGCGTTGTGTCCACTGTGCAGCATGGACAGCGCCGGACACAGCCTACAAGGGGAAGAAAGAGGAGGCAAGATGGTGCCTGGCCTAGGGTCATGGAGACCGCCAGAGGACCTTCCACTCCAACATCCATGGATATTCACTGACTGACTGAGTGAATGATGGAGAGAGGGAGGGATAGGCTCATAACATGCAAAACGGGGGTGGGGTGGGGGGGAGGCCCCATCAGGAGCTTCTGTCCTTGCTCATTTCTCTATCCCAGAGCAAACCCAGGCCCCGCCAAGGAGGTCAAGGAGCTCCCTGCCCATTCCAGGGAGGGTCTTGGCAGGCAGGATTCTGGGTCTTTATGGCTCTAAGTCTAGCATTCTCTCCAATGCATTTTGTGTGCACGTGCAGGTGTGCATACACACACGCACACTTACAGCTATATAAAGCTAGAGTTTAATGTAATATGTTGTAAGCAAATGAGATTATGTGAATGAAGCACTTTTCAACCCTTTAAATGTAATAGGAGTCATTCTCCTCTCCTCTCCTCTCCCCTCCCCTCCCCTCCCCTCCCCTCCTCTCTTCTCCTCCCTTCCCCTCCCCTCTTCTCCTCTTCCCACTCCTCCCCTCCCCTCCTCTCCTCCTCTTCCCTCTTCCCTCCCCCTCCCCTCCCCTCTTTTCCTCTTCCCTCCCCTCCCCTCTCTGCTCCCCTCCCCTCCCCTCCTCTCCTCTCCTCTTCTCCAGGAGAGTCCATTGACTTCTTTTTCATCTCATTTGAGAAAGACAAAGTCCCTGGGAGCAGCCCACAGCGCTCCCCAAATCTAACACCTGCCCCCCAAAGAAGGTCTGTCCCCCAAACAGTCACATGCCATAATTATAGCCACGTAACACAAACCCACACACCACAAATGTCCCCCCACACCAGAAATGGACTCAGCTCAGTGCTCGGCACATAGTAGGAGCTTAACAAATGCTAACTGACTGACCGACAGTCATTCCATCTCTCTGGACCCCTGTGCACTCCAAGCCCCGTGCGGTCTGTTCCCAGGGACAGGAGGTAGACACAAAGAAAGCGTCAGCCCAGGGCACTGCCACGTTGGAGAGCCAGGGCCCCCTACCCTCGGTGAAGCAATCCTCGGGGTCCTTCACGTCTTCGCCCAGGTCTGCGATCTTCTCCAGGAGATCCGCAGTGTTGGTCATGTCCGCCGTGCTGCCCTCAGAGAAGCTGTCATCATCGTGTCTCTGCTGGTGGGAGAGGACAGGAGAGCGTGGTTAGAGCTGGAGGGTGCCCCAGCTGCTGCCGGGCCTCTGGGGGCTCAACCCTTGGAGCCCTGCTCTGGCCGGACCTCCAGCGTCCAGCTCTAGGGGCCGCTCCGGTCCCACGGCTGGAAGGGACCCTAGCAGGCGCTGACTCCTCCCCACCCCCATCCTGTCTCTCTCCTCCCCCCATCACAGATGGGGAACAGGCCCAGGGGAGCGAGTCTCAGGCTTGCCTGATCATGGGTATTCGTCAAGAATTCAGACTCGGCTCTTCCTGAGTCTAAGGCTGCTCTCTCTTACCCCTCTGACTTGGGTTGGAGAGGAAGACGAGGAATTGGTACCGGCGGAGGACCCCAAGGCTCGCAGAGCTCAGGGCAATCTTACAACGACCTTGAGAATAAAGTAGTACAGTCATTGTCCCCACTTCACAGATTGAGTGAACTGAGGATTAACGAGGTTAAGTGACTTGCCTAAGACCACAGAGCTACTTTGTGCAGGCATTTGAACCCGGGTCTCTCCTCACTCCAAGCCCCAGTGCCCCAGCTTTCCCTGTGCCTAAGCTCGTTCCTCAGCAGCGGAGCAAGACCAGCTCAGGTGGAAAGCCTGTGAATGTAAACATCCGGGCGGCTAAGTGAGCCCCAAACGCTTTATTTCAGAAGCATCAGGAGTGAATCCTCAAGCAGTACGCATCTCTTTTTTGTTTCTTGCTTCAAGGTCCTCCAATTTACCCTCCTCCCCTTCAGAGGGAGCAAGGGGGCGGGACCACGGGAGGGGAAGGAGAGAGATGAGACGGCTCAGGGGATCTGGGTGGGGGGAATGCTTCCTGCCCCTGACCCCATCTGGCTAGCGACTGCCTAGGGCTTTGACGGGACCCCACCAAGAAAGGGGTCAGGCGGCAGGGTCAGTAGGACCATTTCCGAAGCCTGGCAGAAGCACTGGAGTATAGAACTGGATGGAATCTTAGGCCTCGTCTAGTCCCAGCCTGGCATTTTGTGGATAGGGAAACTGAGGCTTGGAAAGGTCTCCAGTGTGGTACATACAAAACTGAGTCTTCTAACTAATCAATATACATTTTAAAAGTACCTACATATGCCATGTACTGTTCTAGGTGCCAAGGACAAAAAAAAAATAACAAAACAGACCTTGCCCTCAAGGAACTTACACTCTACCGGGGGAGATAGACATATACCAAAGAAATACAAATTGATACAAGGAAGATCTACCCATTTCTGTGCACTCCAGCCTCTTCATTGTGCAAGAGATGTAATCTTGAAGGCAAGGATTCTGTTATTTTTGTCTCACCTTGTGCCTAGGACAGTGTCTAGAACACAGAAGGTGATTGATAAATGTTGGTTGGATCGGAAATGAGGCCTAGAAAAGGGAACAGAGAGCCAGTATAGAGATAGGGCTGGATGTTTGTAACTGAAATCATTATGTAATGGGTGCATTCAGATGGAGGCACTGGTGTGGGAGACACCAGGGACTGACTTCCTTGTTGGCCTACCTGATGGTTGGGAGCAGACCCTTTCGATCAGCTGCAGAGCCTGAATTACTTGCATCTTTCTAAGGACCTTACTTCACAATCCCTCTCTTTCCCTCAGCCCTTGGGGCAAAGGACTTCTTCCTCACTGAGTGATGGCCAGGTAGCAAGAAAGCGCCTGAGGGCCACCTTACCCTCTGCAGGCCGTGTGGTCCCAAGAAATGGTCATGGGAATTTGGTCTGTTTCATTTGTCCTTTTCCCTTCAAGGTGCAGGGAGCAGAGGCACAGATGTTTTTAAAGCAAGGCTCTGACCCGGTTACTCATCTGCTCAAGAAGCCCCCTGGCTCCCTCTTGCCCCTAGGCTGACCACAAACTGCTGTGGCTTGGCATTTCCAGTCCTTGGCAAGCAGGTTTCTAACTTAACTTTTCATGTTTGTTATGCACTGTTCTCTTCACGCACTCTCTGGTCTGGCCACGCTGGTCTATTTGCTGTTCCTCATACACGATGTTCCATTTCCCCTGCCTCTGCACACTTAGAATGCACTCCCCCTAGCACCACTTAGAATCCCCAGGTTCCTTCAAGGCTGAGCTCTGGGGCCATTTCTTACAAGAGGGCAGGACTCTTTGCCCCTGAAGTTACCTTGTTCTTACTTTATATTTATTTATTTTTTTTACTTATCTCCAGTGTGGTATGGTAGAAAGGATGATGGATCTGGAATCAGGGACCTGAGTTCAAATCCCAGCTCTTCCATTTCTTACCCATGCAGCCTTCAGCAAGTTACTTACTCTCAGTTTCCTCAACTTCAAAATGAAGGGGTTGTAGTAGATGAAATTGAAGGCCCCTCCTACTTCTCAACCTACCACACAATAATTAGCACTTATATAAGGTTTGCAAAGGGTTTTCCAAATATTATCTCACACATCACAACCACCCTGGGAGGGAGGAGCTATTATTATTCCCATTCTACAAATGAGGAAACTGAGTCAGACAGTGGTTAAGTGACTTAGTGTGAGTGTCTGAGGCTAGATTTGAACTCAGGTCTTCTTGTCTCTACACCGCCTAGCTGCCCCAGCACCTAGCTGTATGGAAGTCAAGGCACACCATTTCATTTTGTCTTTGTATCTCCAGTGCCTAGCACTGTGCCTGGTCCACCATAGATATTTAAATGAATTAATAATGATTTAATTTTAGACACTGTGTCCTGCTAATGGAATGTACATTTGAGGGGGGGAGGGGAAGTATTTAGGAAATGTGGAAGAACAATTTCCCATGACAATTTCTTCTCTCCCCATTCATTCCACAGCTAGATCTTTGGAAGGCTCCATGTAATGCAATAGAGGTAGCCTGCTCCCATGAATGACCGAAGAAGCGTTCTCAGGGTGCGGCTTTTGTCCACGGCTCATCACGATGTCAAGTATGGGTCAGGACTTTCAAAATATTATTTGCTGAAAATGAGGAAGATAGAAACTGAACAGGGGTTGGGAAGATGAAGAGGAGGAGAAAGGGGGAGCCAGAAAAACTTCATGAATTTTCCTGAAGGCAATTTCTCATCATAGTAGAAATCCTATTGTGAAATGCCCAGCCACAAGGACCTACTGATGATTGCATAAATTCTTCTTTAACTTTGAAGGGCCCCAAGGCAAGTATGCTGAAGGTCAGCAAAGAAGAGCAAAGGATCTTTGTTCAAAGGTCAGGATTTTACTCTGACCCTTTTCTGATCTCCTCTGGCTTTCTGGGCATGATCACCCAGTCTTTGAAACCCCACTGGACTCCCCAGAGAGCCAGCCAAGCAACTCTCCTGGGACTGCCAATGCAGAAGAGCATGGGGCTTTGGGGGCAAGTCTTCTCAGACTCCCTTGGCTATAGAGAGAATAAGTTTCTCTTTCCATAAACTGATACCAGCAACGATGTCAAGAGCTGTAAGTAATCCTCAGTTCAGCTCAAGGACTGTGGTCTAATAAGCCCCTCATGGGACCATCTGAGCCTAGTTCTAGAGCTGGAGGGGACCTTGGAGTCCATTTGTTTCTACTTCTTCATTTATAAATGAGGAAATTGAGGCCTGAAAACTGAAGGTTAAATGATTCACCTAAGGTCACACATAGAGTATAGATCTGGAGCTGGAAGGGTCCTGAAAGGCCATCTAGTGTAGCTCCCTCATTTTACAGATGAGGAAACTGAGGCCCAGCCATGTGAAGTAAGGTCTTCTTCTGTGCCTCACGTCAC